AGGAGAGGAGAGGAGAGGAGAGGAGAGGAGAGGAGAGGAGAGGAGGAGGAGAGGAGGAGAGGAGGAGAGGAGGGGAGAGGAGGAGAGGAGAGGAGGGGAGGAGAGGAGAGGAGAGGAGGAAGGGAGGGGAGGAAGGGAGGGGAGGAGAGGCTTCCTTGTCGTCGCCGCCGCCGCGCGCTGTCGCGCCAGCCACGGGCGCGCCCTTCCCAGGGGCAAAGTCCTCCGAGAAGAAGCTCCAGGTGAAGTAGAGTCCGTAGAGGACCTGGTCGCCGGCAGGAGGGCCGGCAGGGCAAGGGGAGGCGTGGGGGGGAGAGGGCAGGCTCGGGGCGCGTGCGGGGGGCAGAGGGCGAGGAGGCGGGAGAGGGAGAGGGAGAGGTGGGGGGGGGGGGGGGAGCACGCGATGAAGCGAGAGTGGTATCGCCGCAAAGTATCCTGGAAGGTGCTAGCGACGGCCAGGCGGCGCCAGCAGGTGTCTCGGAAGCGTCTCGGAAGCGTCTCGGAGGTGTCGGTGGGTGGCACCAGAGCAGGCGTGGCACCAGAGCAGCTTTGGGAGTCGCAGCGTGTGTGTGGGAGTGTGTGTGGGGTGTGTGTGTGTGTGGGAGGGTGTGTGTGTGGGAGTGTGTGTGTGTGGGAGGGTGTGTGTGTGGGAGTGTGTGTGTGGGAGTGTGTGTGTGGAGGGTGGTGTGTGTGGGAGGGTGTGTGTGTGGGAGGGTGTGTGTGGGAGGCAGTGTGTGTGGGAGGGTGTGTGTGGGAGGCAGTGTGTGTGGGAGGGTGTGTGTGGGAGGCAGTGTGTGTGGGAGGGTGTGTGTGGGAGGGTGTGTGTGTGTGTGAGTGTCACCCAGCAGCCGAAGAGGACCGCCACGAACTTCATGAGCTCCTTGAGGTGCAGCCGCTCCTGCTCGCGGCGAGAAGTTGTCTCGGGGGTTGGAAGAACGGTCCGAGAAGCGTCTCCGAAGTGGCAGGCGCGGCGTGCCACCTTGAGAGTGGCGAGGGCAGCCTGCGTGTCGGCGGTATCCTTCGCCGCCTGCTCGCGGATGCGATCCCGCGCCTGCTCGTACCACGGCCGCGCCGCTCGCCGCTCGCCGCAGTCCGCGCAGTCCGTCCCGTACCCGCACAAGTCGCCTTCGGCGCCTCTGCCGCCGTCGTCACACACCCCGTCGCCCGCGCTGAAGCAAGTGTCGGAGCAGGCCGTGCCGCCGGGCGCAAAGGGCGGCGCGGGCGGGTGCGGCGGCGGCGAGGGCGAGAGGACCGGGCGCGGCCCACAGTCGTCGCAGTCGGTGCCATAGTCGCACGGCTTCCACCAAAATATGTGCGCTGGCGAGCCGGGCCCGCCATCCTGGCAGACGCCCTCGACGGCGGGCACGGCGAGGCTGCGCCGGCCAGACGAGGCCGTATTGCACGTGTTGGTGCACAGCGTCTCCGGCTCTCCACCCAGCCAGCCCAGCGCGGCAGGCGAGAGCAAGAACATCCTTCGATGCCTGCCAGAACCGCGGCCACCTTTTGCGCTCTTTTTTTCTTTTTTCTTCGAGGTTCTCGAGGTGGAAATCCTTTGCGCTTTGGCCGCGTTGGGTAGCGAGGATTGGTGTGACGCGATCCACCGAGTAGAGGGGCGTCCTGCACTCTATTATTGAATTATCTCGCCGGCGTCCTTAGTTTCCGAGAAGAGAGAGATTTTAGAAAACCAACCAACGGAGAGGACCGTCCAAAAACCCACCAGTGTGTGTGTGGGATTACGCGCTACTATTTGGAGCACTTGGAGTTATTATTCTGCGATTGTGCCTATATTGCTTTAACGCATTTGACAGCACGAGGAGGAGCTCATCCCACACCCTCATGCACGTGTGTATTCGACGCTGCGTGTATGGAGATGAGCTCCTCCAACGCGACGAACGTGAAGATGAGAAGCAGATCGAGCCGCGTCAACCCGTCGCCGGCGGCCGCATCGAGCTGGCAGGCGCGCCGCTGCCCCGTGTTGGGCACACACCCGCACGAGTCGTTGTCCGTCGTGTAGCTGGCAACGTGGCCTCGATGGACGTCTCGTCTCGTTGCAACCACGGTCGTCTCGTAAGGGGCGCAGCAGATGCGCGTCGACGGAGCCCTCCCCACCCGAAGGCCAGTGATACCGTCTGCGCGCGTCAGCGTTAATCGAGACGAGTTTGATGACATCGTGCCGTATGGTCTGCCACTAATGGTCACCTCGCACGGCGCGAAGTTGAAGCCGTTCGACATCAGCGTCCGCGTGGTGGTGGCATCACGCGCGAACTCGGCGACAACCGTGGACCTGTCGGCGGTCACCAATCGCGCGCTAAACTGATACCCGTGACAGTTGGAAGAGGCATACTCGAGCTCGAGCACAACCTTGCCGGTGGCGTCACGCATCGGCTGCCTTCCTTCGGCCAGGTCGGTCCCGGGAGCAATAACTTTCCGACCGACTACTTGGTTGTCTCGCCGACGGAGCATGACGTTTTCAAGGTCGTTCACGACTGCCATGCTACTAGCAAGCAGCGATGGATCTATCATGACGGCTGGCTGTGGCGCCTGCATCTGGAGCTGCACTTGCTGGCCTGCAGAGACGCCGGCGGCGGTGTCGTGCCTTTGCCGGTTCTCCCTTTTCGCCGCTGGCCGCTTGCTCTCCTCGTCCAGCGCGGTGCCCGCGATGCAGCGGACGTCGGGTGCTTCACACCAGCCTACACCACCCGGCAGGAGGACGCGCCATGAGCGGCCGGCGGTCTCAGGAGCAAAGCTGTTGTCGGGGCAGCTGATGCCGCAGCTCTTGCTGCCTTGCTTCTTCGCATGACCCACCTTCCACCCGTCACAATACCACATCACCACGCTTGGGTCGCCATCCTTCTTCTCGTAGGATGGCATTCCGTTGACGACCCGATCGTGTCGCTTTACGAACACGCCGAGACGCGAGCACTGTGCGCCGCCAGGCGTCATGCCGACCAGAGCCACTCGCTCCGCGCCGCGATCGAACTCGGCTTGCAGCACAGCGCCGCCGCGGAAGCGAATGTAGGAGCGTCTTAGAGCCTCCAATCGTCCGTTTTGAGGCCCGACCCACAGCATGGCTGCGGCAGCGGCTTAGGTGCGGCAGCGGCTTCAGCGGCTGAGCCGCCCTGGGGTCGCCCGACCAGCCAGCGGAATTTTTTCCGTTTTTCATTTTTTTATTTGTCTTTTTAGCCACGAAAGGTGTGACGCAATTACACATTCTGGGAGCTTTGAGCCTCCCCGCAGTTGAGTTGCTGGCCGTGCACGATGTATTGATCGGCTAATTAATCCGGCATACCGGCCACCCACCCGCCCGGCACGCCACGCACGCACGCACACACACACACACACACACACACACACACACACACACACACACACACACACACATCAGACACGCGAACACAAACAAACACGAACGCGGCCGCACTCGATCGCCGCACCACCCGAGACACGAATGAACGATACTGAACGAGGACTAATGAACGCGGACCAGACACTACGAACGATACTGAACGAGACTCTAATGAACCATCGATGGACACGGATCAGATCTCATGCTGCATCAGACTCATGGTTGGGGATGGAAGATCCAAGTCACCCATTTGTCTTTCTTCGATTTCGAGACGTCGCCATCCGCGGAGATGTAGCACTTGTCGGCACTGTTCTTGTACATGCAGAGAGAATTTGTGTCACACCACGCGGAACGCATCTCCATCGCTTCGGTGAAGGGGGTGAACCGTGCCATCCTCGATCGCCGTGCAAAGCTCGCTTCCGAGCTCTCACGCCGCGCGTAGGGCCCTTAGGGGCCTAGAGAACACAACCCCCTCTCTCTTTTCTCCCAGTACAAGACCGTGCTCGCCATCAACCACCGCAAGCGCTCCGCCAAGCACTTAGAGCTCCAGGGCGACATCCTCGCGACCGACGTCCGCCCGCGCGACGACGGCATGGAGGTGCAGGAGGCCTCGGTCAAGACGGCGTCCACCTACCTCCAATTCTACAACGCGGTCGGGGTGACAACGCGTCCGCGGAAGGCGCTCTCCGAGCGTATATCGATATTGAGCTCGAGAAGGGCAAGCCCGTCATCACGCAGGGCACGCCCGGGGTGATGAGTGCCAAGGTCTACTTCGACGCCAAGGTGCAGCGGCTGGTGACGCAGCGCCGTGCCGCCGGCGACCCCATCTCGCACATCGAGGCGTCGAAAACCGTGTCCGCGCGCGCAATTCAGAACGGCACGTTTCGCGAGGAGGACATGTTGTACGGCCACAAGTACAACGACGACGACCAGATGCGCGCGATGTTCGACCCCAATTTCGCCGCGCACAGCGTGCCCACGTCCTCCATCGTGGTCCGCCGCTCATAAGTGTGCGCCTCCTCGAGTGCGCCATCATCGCATCATTCAGACCCCCCGCGATCAGCGAGATGAGATCAATGCCCCTCAAGTGCACTACCTATGCCTTCACTCTGCTTTTTCGTAATATCTTTCGTCCAGATTTTCGCAACGCGGGGGGGAATTTCGCCCGTCTCACAACACTAGGCACAAGACGGTGATCGTGTGCACGGCCTACCCGGGAGTACGGTAGGCGAAACAAATATTACCCTTCGAGCGCCCCGATCGCCTCCGTCACCGCGGCCACGAGCCGCGACGCCTCCCCCTCGCTGCGCGGCCCGTCCCTCCTCCACCTCGCCGCGTCGTGGTGCCTCGCCGCATTCGCCCAGATACGCAGCGAGTGCAGCTGGCTCCGCAGCTCTGTCGGCAGGCCGCACTCGCGGTGCCAAAAGTTGATGCGCTCCTCGAAGCCGTCGGGCGCCGCCGCAGAGCGCGAGGCGTACGCAGCGTCGAGGCGCGGCATCAGCGTCTTGAAGGCAAGCATCATGTTGTCCTGGATGCGCGCCTGCGCGTCGCCGCCCGTGCGCATGCCGCGCACCTGCACCGAGAGCGGCGAAGGCTCGTACCCGGTGGTGCGGGCGACTGCCGCAGCGGCCTCGTCTCCAAAGACCGGCGCAGCCTCCTCCACCCCAGCCCCGCCCTGCGCGCCAGACAGCAGCGCCCGGAGCGTCAGCAGCGCCTCGGGCAGTGTGGGCCGCTTGCGCAGGCTGTCGTGGCAGAGGCTCTTATGCCCGTCTCCCGCCTTCGCGAGATCCTTTACTACGCGTGCCGCGTTGACTGGCCAGCCCGCAGCCACGTCGGCGAGCTTCGCCGCGTCGATGTCGGTCCAGTCCTCCTCGAACTCGTCCTCGCACCGGTCGGTGAGCTGCACCTCGGACCGGTTGGTGAGGCAGACGAGGAGGGTGATGCCGATGGCGTAGCCGTCCGTCTTGCTCGAGTACTCGCCTCCCTTGGTGATGGAGGGGCAGAGGTAGCCCGTGGTCATGTAGAGGGCGGTCGAGCGGCAACGGACAGACGCGTCGGGACGCTGGTCCTTGGCGAAGCCCGTGTCGGCCAAAACTGCGGTCAGCTTCTCGTCGAGCAGGATGTTGTCCGGCTTGACGTCGCGGTGCACGATGCCCTTCGAGTGGAGGTAGACCAGCGCCTCGGTCGCCTCGCACGCAATACGCACGCGCTGCCGCCACGTCAGCGGCCTCGGCGCCTCTTCCATGCCCAGCCGGCGGAGCTGCGCAGCGCGGTCGGGATCCGAGATGCGCAGCCGCGCCTCGAGCGAGCCGCCGCGCATCAGCGGCGAGAGGAGGCAGACGCCGTCGGGCGAGAGGCAGTAGCCGAGCAGCGGCAGCAAGTGCGGGTGGCTCACCGCCTTGAGCAGCTTCACCTCGAGCTCCGCCCGTGACAAGCCGCCCGACTGGCCCGACTTTGCCCGCTTGACGACGAGCGGCAAGTGGCGCAGCTGCGGAGGCGCGGCGAGGGAGAGGTGGAGGTCGGCCGACGCCTCGTAGACGTGGCTGAAGCCGCCGCTGCCAATCAGCTTGCCCTCTGCAAACCCGTCGGTAGCCGCGGTGAGGTCCGACAAGGCTATCTCGACTGGCCGAGCAACAACCGCCTCTTCCGCCGCGGCTGGCTCGGCGGCGATAGGCAGAGTTGCCAGCTTCGACTCCGCCGCGCTCACCTCCTCGGCCAAGGCAGGCAGCGCGCCCACGTGCGGCCTGGCGGCGGCGATGCCCGCTCGGAGCGCGGAGGGGCTGTCCGCTGCGTCGAGCGACTTGAGCGCGCCCATCGCCGCACCATGCGCCTTGCGCAGCCGCTGGCTGTCCCGCCTCCGCGCCTCCTTGAGCTTGTCGCGCGCGCGCCTCGCCGCCGCCAGCACGGCCGGACTCGCGAGGCTACTGCACGTCTCCAGCGCGCTCGCTAATCCGTCGTACGAGCCAGCGGCCACGGCCTGCTGCAGCGCCTGGTCCGCTGCGGCGATGGCAGTTGCGTCGGCGGGCGGAGGAGATGGGGCTCGCGGTGGGGTTGGCGGCGGCAGAGCGGCGGTGACGCTGGGGCCAGGCGCCAAGACGACTGCCTCGCCGCCGCCGCTCTTCTTCTTCTTCTTCTTCTTGCCCGTCTTGCTCTTTGCGCGCTCCTCCTTCTCCGCCTCCTCCTCCGCCAGCAGCGCCTCGGCATGCCGCGCCGCCTCCGCTTCTGCCGCCGCTCTCTCCGCCTCCCTCACCTCCGCCTCGGCAGCCCACGCCGCCTCCTTCGCCGCCTGGTCAGCCGCCGCCTCCGCCGCCGCATGCTCCTCGATGACGCGCACACACTCGAAGTGGCCCTTCCCCTTGGCGATATGCAGCACCCCGCTGTTGTTAAACCCGACCGCCGCCGTGTCTGCGCCCGCTCGCAGCAAGCGCCGCATGATGGCAGGGCGGTTGTAGAAGGTGGCGAGCATCAGCGCGGTGCCGCCGTCGCTGCACGACAGGTTGACCTCAGCGCCGCACCGGATCAGCAAGTCGACCACACGTTCGTCACCTTGGGCGGCGGCGCCCATCAGCGCGGTGCCGCCGCTGCTACTCTGCAGGTTGACCTTCGCCCCACGCCGCAGCAGCATGTCGACCACCCGCTCGTGGCCGCTGGTGGCGGCGGCAAGCAGCGCGGCGTTGCCGTTGCTGTCCTGCTTGTTGATCTCAGCGCCATGCCGCAGCAGCAGCTCGACCACCCGCTCGTTGCCGTACACGGTGGCGCTCATCAGCAGCGTGAGGCCGCTCAAGCCGCCTCTCTCGTACGTCGCGTCGGCCCGCCCGCCACTGCCGAGCCACGCCAGCACCGCTGCCTCGTCGCCTTGCTCAGCTGCTGTCACTACCTCATCGGAGACTGAAGCGGCACCGCTCGGCGCCCACTCCGCCGCCGCCGGCGGCGACAGATTATCCGGCCGCACGCGCACGCTCTCGCCGCCGCCCTCGAGCGCCACCGCGTACCGCCCGCCCTCGAAGCTCTGAGCCACGCCCCGCTTCCCGTTCAGCTCGGGTCGGGCCGAGAGCCCGCCGAGCTCGACTCGCTGGCCGAGCAGCGGCGCGTCCACAGCTGCCGCTGCCGCGCCCGACGAAGCGCCGACCGCCCCTGCCCGGCCGTCTGCAGCCGCCGCCGTCTGAGGCACGTCTCGTTCCCGCGCCTCCATCGAGCAGCTCAAAAGAATTCCGAAAGCCGAATCGTTTCGGAAGCATGGGGGATATCGTTTCGCGCTGGATGACGACGGATGGGATCAATATAGACGCCAGGGTCGACCGTCGTCGTCCACCGTCGCATAGAAACGGTCCTCGACGCCCCCGTCTCCTCTGCTCTTGCACGTATCTGCCGATGCCTCCAAGGACCAAGCCAAACTTCTTATTCCCAGAATACTCCGCAGCGAGAAACATCAAGCTGCAGTCCTCCACGACCTCGGAGTATTCAGTCTCCGTAAAGTAGGACATCTGCCGGCGGCCGTCTGCCCGCTACGAGCACCCATATCGAATTGGTGTAAGTAACGAGTGCCGTAGTTTGCAAACAGCCGCCAAAGTCTGACGTCCCCAGCGCCGTTTCGGTCAGCCGCTCAGCAAAGGTTTCATCCAGAGGAGGGTAGGGGTCGGCCGTTTCGACTTGGTAGGATGTGCACGTGAGATGATACGAGCTCGCCCGCATGCTCCCACTCGAAATCTGAGTGTGAGTGTCCGAGAAGCTGAGCGACGCACTAAAGGTGGCTTTGCCGTACGACGCGTCGAGGTTGAAGCCGACGCCTCCAGGTTCTCTGAGTAACTAGTCATGGTAGCTTCTTGGGAATCCTTGACGGTCGTGTCGCAACTGTAAGCGGAGGAGATTTCGAAGCCGTCTGGCACCACGTACTGGTGCTGTTCGTTGGTTACCCCGTTTCCAATGCAGAGAGTCCTCCCCTCCTCACAGTCGTCTTTGCAGATGCGGAAGATCCGACCATTGAAGCCTGGGTCGAGGGGCACATCTCCTTCATGCGTCGGCCTCGGGTTGCCCTTGAAACCATCGTAGCCCTTTCCAAGATAGTCCACGCCCGGCAAGGTCAAGGGTTTCTCCGTGCCGCATTGCCGCAGTTATCGTTTGCGGTCGCCTCTGTCACTGGCGCTCCGTGCACAGCCACCTAGGAGGAGGGGCGGCGTGCAAGTCATGTGGGTGTGAAAGGCGGGGTGTGTACGCGTCTCCAGGGAGCGAAGCGCACCAGGACGGTAGCGAAGACGGCGAAGGCTGGCATGCTGGATGTCACATGGTCCTCCTGACTGCTCAAAGGGGATATGTGGCGCGTTGCGTCCTCCCCGCTCCGTTTTCTAAGGACTAAGCATTTTGTTTAATTAAAAGTGAGATCCGCGGGGTGAACTCCACGCGCCCAACAAAGTGAGATCTCGGAAGTCCTTAAACCCACCTTCCACCCGTCAGAACGAGATGCGAGTACTAAAGTGCAGTAGGGTCAGAAATATCTTCTTTGTTTGTGATCTGTGTGCGCCGCTGTCTGTCTATGCCGGCGTCGATCGACGGACGTGGGACGACGCGTCGTGCCGACCAGCCAGACACTCACTCGCTCCGCGATCGAACTCGGCAGCCGCGCGCCGCGAAGCGGTGAAAAAGTTTTTGCCCGGCGCTGTAATCGACGACATCCTCGCCACGGGTGGCTCCGCCTTGGCGTGCTGCGGCATCCTCGAGCAGCTCGGGATGCATATCCACGAGGTGGCGGCGGTGTAAGACTACTCGGCGGGGAAGTCGGCCCTGCCTGGGCGTGGGCCGTGGGCTGCTCACGGACCAGGGCTACTCGGTCTTCGCGCTCGCGAAGTTCTGCGACGACCGCGTCGAGGGCAAGATGCTGTGGGTGGGCTGGTGGCTCGAGCGCGGCACAGACGACGGATGTCGTCCTCTCGCCGCACATCGGGAAAATGAACAAGCAGCACTGAGCGCTGCTTGTACGTCTTGGTCCTACGTAGTACGCGTGACGCATATCTTGCGCCGCCGTGGCTTGTCACCGGGAAATTCTTGCCCGTACCGCGTACCACCTGTGTTAGTGCCAGTGTGTGTGTGTGTGAGAGAGAGATTTTTAGCAATACCTTAAAGAGAGGTTACAGGCGGGTAAGGTCCGTTAGCGGGAGATCGGCGGGAGCGGCGCACGTTTCGAATTCGGCGGGCGTTTCGAATTTGTCGACGGACCGTTTCAGGTCGCTGCGCTCCCGTATGAGCGAGGCTGCCGACGCTGCCATGATTGAGGCTGCCGACGCCGACTGGCGGCTGCAATACCAAACAAATCTAACACTCACGCGTCATTTGGGGCCTGGAGCCCTGTTCACGCGCGCGCGAGACGTGCAGACAGGGTTGCCAGGTGAGAGCGAATGGCGCGGTTCACGCCTCGCACAACAGAGAGAGAGATGCGCTCTGCATGGTGGGACATAAAAGAGAGCGAGTACTTGGGCGAGTAGGCCGTGCGGTCGACGCTGCCGCGCGCGACTTTGCGCGCGAGGCGGCGCAGCTTGAGAACGGCGGTGGGCGAGAAGCCGCCGCCGAACGTCTCGTGGAGCAGCAGGTTGAAAGTTGTTGCGCTTGACAAAGATCGCGTCGTGGTAGAACAATACCAAACAACTCTAACACTCACACTTTGTGTTTGTGTGTGCGCGCGCGCGCCCAGCGTTGAAGTTGGAGCAATTGGAGTGCATGGTAACCGCGTGCACATCCACCAGGGCCGGGGAGCTAAAAAAGTCCAGGACTGACCGAAAAAGAATTCGCACACGGCCGCTCCACCTTCCTGTCTCCATCTGGCGACCTTCCTCCAGTTTCTAACTGGCAGTCTCTCGCTACCACAGGCACACTGACAGAGGCGCGCAGGGGTGCGCGAATTCTTTTCTCGGCGGCGCTCCTTGGACATATACACACACATGCGCTTTGGCCCACCGCCGCCGCTGCCGCCGGTAGCTACTCCGGACCTGGCCAGCGCGCTGTCGACGCTCGCCGCCGCCTTTGCCGACGTGCTGTCTGCGGCGGCCGCCGACATATCGTGGCAGTCGGCGGCCGCGCTCGCCGCGTCGCTGTGCTGTGTCTACCTATTGGGTGCGGTGCTGCTGTCGGAGCCGACGCCGCGGGTGGACGTGCCGGTGGACGAGGACGTGGAGCCCAAGATTGACGGCTCCACCGCCAAGTTCGACGCCGCCCTCCTCACCGCCGAGGGCGCGCGGAGGGAGCCGTCCGTCGTCTACTGCTGGGACCCGTCCTCGATGGACATGCTCGGCACGCTGCCGGTGGCGTCGGCGGAGGACGTCGCCGCCGCCGTCGGTCGCGCGCGTGTCGCACAGGCGGCGTGGGCGGGCTCGACTTGGGGCGCGCGCCGCCGGCTGCTCCGCACGATGCTGCGTTTTGTGACGGAGAACCAGCGCGCAATCGCCCGCGTCGCCGTGCGCGAGAGCGGCAAGACGATGGTGGACGCCATCTTCGGCGAGATCCTCGTCACGTGCGAGAAGCTCAAGTGGACCATCGCGCACGGCGAGGCTGCGCTGCGGCCGGAGCGGCGGCCGACCGGCACCCTCGCCATGACCAAGCGCGCCTGGCTGCGCCCGGGCCCGGTTGGCGACCCTTCCCGGAACCTTCCGTGAGCCGCCTCGGGAGGCTCGTGTAGGCGCGTCAAGGTGGAGTGGCGGCCGGTGGGCGTGGTGGGCGCCATCGTCCCGTGGAACTACCCCTTCCACAACGTCTTCAACCCCGTCATCTCGGCGCTCTTCGCCGGCAACGGCATCGTCATCAAGGTTTCCGAGTACGCCTCATGGTCGACCCTCTACTACGGGCGGGCCCTCCGCGCCATCCTCGCCGCCGCGGGGGCGCCGACCGACCTCGTCCAGTTCGTGACGGGGTACGGCTCGACCGGCGCCGCGCTGGTCGGCTCCGGCGCCGACAGAGCCCGCCCTCTGCCTCTGCTGGAGCGGGGACCTTCTCGGAACCTTCTCGGAACCGTCTCTCTAGGCGTCGACAAGCTGATCTTCGTCGGGTCGCCGTCGGTGGGAGGGCACGTGATGCGCGCCGCCGCCGCGAGCCTCACCCCGGCGGGACGGCCTCCCGGCGGCGTGCGCGAGGGTGCGCGAGCTGACGCGAGACGGGCGTGGTGGGTGATTATAGGTTGTGCTGGAGCTCGGAGGAAAGGACCCGTTCGTTGTCTGCGACGACGTGAGCGAGGCAGAGCTCGACCGCATCGCGCAGGTGGCGCGAGATTGCCCGAGATTGCCGGGGCGTGTCCGAGGCTGCGGTCGAGGTGAGGCGGAGGTCGTTCTCGCCGCGCAGGTGGCCTGCCGCGGCGTCTTCCAAAACATGGGCCAGAACTGCGCCGGCCCAGAGCGGTTCTTCGTCGCGGACGCCGCGTACGCGGGCTTCTGCTCGCGCGTCGGCGCCGCCGCCGCGCGGCTCGCCCGCGGAGGGGAGCCCCCCCCCCCCCTGTTCACAGCGCGCGGCGTGCGTGCAGGCGCAATCGCGTCACGCCTCAAGTGTGGTCCGCCGCTCGACGACGCAGAGGTCGACTGCGGGGCAATCACCATGGGCAGGAGGCAGATGGGGCACTACCAGGCCGGCCTGCCTACCGCCCGCAGACCCCTCCGTGGACGCCTCCCTAGACACGCCCTAGACACGCCCTAGACCTGCACTCGCGGGTGGGGCAGTGCCAGGCGCCGCTCGCCACCGATTGCGAGGCTCTGCCGACCCCCCCGCGGCATTGGCGGACGGCTCACGCCGGGGCTGACTCCTCTCCCAGGCGCTCGTCGACGACGCGGTGTCCAAGGGCGCGCGGCTGCTGGTCGGAGGGTACACGCCCTCCGGCGACGACCCGCTCGCGGCATTGGCTCTTTGGCGCCCGAGACCGCTGGGGTGGCGGGCCGCGGCGTTTCATGCGCGATGCTGTGAGCAGGCGGGCTCCTTCTACCCCCCGACAGTGCTCGTCGACGTGCCGGAGAGCGCCGACATCCTGCAGACGGAGATCTTCGGCCCGATCATGTGCGTGGTGCGCGTGGCCGACTGCGGCGGCGCCGCCGCCAACGACGACGAGGCCGTCCGGCTCGCCAACAACTGCGACTTTGCGCTCTCGAGCTGCGCGTTTGCGCAGTCGGCGCCGCGCGCGCGCGCCGTCGCGGCGCGTCTCTGGGCGGTGCGGGAGAGGGCTGGCGCGAGAGCGGCGTCGCCTCACGGCGGCGTGGCTGCCGCAAGTAGGCTCGGCTCGAGGCGGGCATGTCCGCCTCCAACGACCTCGAGGGCTCCACCTACCTCTCGCAGTCCCTCCCCTTCGGAGGCCGCAAGCAGAGCGGCTTCGACCGCTTCGCCGGCATCGAGGGCTTGCGCGGCCTCACCACGCCGCGGGCCGTGTGCGACGACGCGCTCGAGTGGCTGCCTTTTGGAATGGGCGCGCTGCTCCGCACCGCCATCCCGCCGCCGCTGCAGTACCCCTCGCGCGGCGGCGGCTTCGACTTCGCCTCGGGGCTGATCGAGCTCTTCTACGGCGAGGGGGTCTCGCTCAAGCTGCGCGGCGTCGCAAAGCTGATCGGGGCCGCGGCAAAGTAGCGGCGGCGGCGGGGCGGGAGGTGGGCGGGGCGGAGGAGAAAGGGCGGAGGCGCGGGGGCTAGGAGGTGGGCCCGCTTGAGAGGGGGTGCCAACCAGGTAGCAACCACGTCCCCTGCCACGTGAGACGGGCGGGGAGAGGGAGGGGAACGGGAGGGTCGGCTCGGTGGGTCGGCCGAGAGTGCGTGTCTCAAGATTATATGCATGCGCATGCTCACGAGATCGCGCGTGGCTGTGTCCGTAAATCTTTTTTATCCTTTCGCGCACAGGCCTCGAAGAGGAGCTGCGCCTTAGCGCTTAGGGTTGTCAAACGTTAACTTTGGGCCTAACAGTTGCACACTATTGTTGGCTGAAATCCTCAACGTTGTTCAAGTGTTCTCCCCAGCCCAAGTTGATAGCTGTTACACTGTTCACGACGCCCAGCAGCCATCCTCCTGCAAACCCGCCAACTGCGGGTGAGCCTGCAGCGCCGCCACCGCCGCCTCGATCACGCCCGCGTCGGCTGCGCTCTGTTTGCGTGCGACCCCTACGGCGTCGGTGCCGGAGCACACGTTGCGCAGCGCCTCACAGCCTTGCTCTTGCACCTCCGCCTCCTGCGGGTGAGCCTGCATCGCCGCCACGATCGCCTCGATCGCGCCCGCGGCTGCTGCGCTCTGCTTGCGTGCGAGCCCCGCGGCGTCGTCGCCGTAGCACACGTTGGTCAGCGCCGCGCAGCCATGCTCGTGCATGCCCGCCGCTTGCGGGTGAGCCTGCAGCGCCGCCACCGCCGCCTCGATCACGCCCGCGTCGGCTGCGCGCTGCTTGCGTGCGAGCCCTGCGGCGTCGTCGCCAGAGCACACGTTGCGCAGCGCCGCACAGCCTTGCTCTTGCACCTCCGCCACCTGCGGGTGAGCCTGCAGCGCCGCCACGATCGCCTCGATCGCGCCCCTCCGCCGCCAGATGCTCGTTGGTGCCGGTCGGGTGACCCTGCGATGCGCCCGTGCCGGTGTGTGGAGGGGGGGGGGGGGCAGGGAGGGGGGGCAGGGAGAGGGTAGGGAGGGGGGGGCAGGGAGGGGGGCCAGGGGGGGGGGGGCAGGGAGATGGGGGGCAGGGAGGGGAGGGGGGGAGCAGGCCAGCTGCAGCCGCGGCCCGTTCCCCTCGTACTCGGCCGCCCCCGGTGAGCAGCAGCGGCGCGTCGGCAGAGTGAACCTGCCCACAGCGCACTCCGCTGAAGGAGACGCCGCCCAGAGCCGACGGCGGGCGGTGAGGCGGTGGGAGGGGCCGCGATGCAGCGGCGAGACGCGTGCGCGATGGCCGTGATCTCGAGCTGACCTCCCCACTCGGAGGAGTGCTCCACCTGTGGTTGGTGTGCCAGTGCATGCCTCAATGAGCTGCTCGTCTCGAGCCCGAGGGGGCCTCTAAAGGGTCGACGGGGGGTCTCAGCCGTCAACCAGATGGTTGAGGGGGGGCCTCAACCCTCAACCCCTCCCAGGTAGGTAGGTAGGAAGGTGAAGAACAGCCAGGCTCGGACTGGACACCAACGCGGTATGGGTGGACGCTGGACAGATGATGACGACACGCACGAGCGACACACAGACACAAACAGGCTCACAAGACACACAGCCAGCGGGCTGCCTCACACCCTGAGTAGGCGTACACATAACTCAAGGCCACATCCTCCCTGTCGCCCCCCCCAGCACTCCAAGGTGCCAAGAGAACAAACAAGGGCACGGGCAGAAAGAAACTCATATCGCGTCAGAGATTCCCTGCTGTCCTGACGTCCGTCATCGCGTGAAGCCTCTGCCGCCGTCACCGCCGCCGCCGCCGCCGCAGGCGCTGGTGAGTTGTGGCGAGTCTCGCCTCTCTGCGTCTGGCGGCTTGGTGCTACTATAATCGTTCAATCGATTTACACGATGGAAGTACGATCTGCTACAGCCTATAACGTACACGAGAGGCCACGCGAGCATCGCGCTGGATGGTGTAGGCACTCACTGCAGACTGCACACATAGAGAGTTGCCCACCACACCACTCACCAGTGGAATTCCGTCACGCGCCCCCCCGACCTCGGGACCGACCGCCGAGCGGATCATTGCGTGTCTACCGCCAACCCGGTACCGCGGCTGTGCGGCGGTCCGCGCACAGGCTGCCACAGCAATGCAATGGAATAGTAGACAAAACCTGGGTTCAAAATTACAGCGAGACAAGGCCGAAAGATGCCCTCTCCGTTGCCATCGGTGGTGCCGCCTCCCACGCATTCGAAGCCAGATCGTACCGCTCCATCGAGTTGAGATAGAGAAAGCTGTCCTCGTGGTTGTAGCCGCCCACAGCGTACAGCTTGCCGTCGAGCACCGCTGCGCCTGGACCGTGCCGCCCCTTCGCCATCGGCGCCACAACCTCCCATGCGTTTGTAGTCGGATCGTACGTCTCCACCGATGGCCCGTTGGAGTCGCCGCCCACAGCGTACAGCTTGCCGGCGGCGAGGGCAAGACCAAAAGTGTCTCGCGCCGTCAGCAATGGCGCCACCGCCTCCCACGCATTCGTAGCCGGATCGTAGCGCTCCACCTTGGTGAGGGTGCTATCGCCATCCCAACCGCCCGCCGCATACAGCTTGCCATCGAGCACGGCGACGCCAACGCGCGACCGTGCCGTGGACAACGGCGCCACAGCCTCCCACACATTCGCAACCGGGTCATAGCGCTCCACCGAGCTGAGGAAATCGAGACTGTGCTCGAAGCCTCCCACCGCGTACAACTTGCCGTCGAGCACCGACACCCCAAAGGTCTCGCGTGCCGTCAGCAGCGGCGCCACCGTCTCCCACGCATTCGTAGCTGGATCGTACCGCTCCACCGAACGGAGCTGCACGTTGCCACCCACGCTGCCGCCAACCGTGTACAGCCTGCCGTCGAGCACCGCCGCGCCGAGATCGTGCCGCGCCGTTGTCATCGACGTCTCTGCCTCCCACGCGCTCGTCACCGGGTCGTACCGCTCGACCGAACTGAGGACCCTCGAGGCGCCGGGGCTAGACAAGCCGCCCACAGCATACAGCTTTACCCCTCCGGTGCGAGTCCGCGGCCGGGCTGTGCTCATGATGGCCAAGCCCGGCGCCTCGAGAAGCATCTGCTTCCCGACCCGTGTGTCGAGCAGCGGCTCTTCCATGACCACGCCGTTGAGAAACTCGCGCGGAAGCAGCGCGAACCGCACACGCGAGAGCAGCGCCGCCACCTCCTCCTCGCCGGGCGGCGGGTCGTGTGCCTGCAGCCACGCCACGCCAGCACGGTACACATCCTCCTCGCTCGCGCGCAGCCGGTCGTCCTCGAGCAGAGAGCGGACGATCGACGCTGGCGCCGCTGTCCACGCCTCCCCTCCCGCCACCACCTCGCTAAAGTTCGCGCGCGCAGCCTTGGACGCCGCCTCTGCGAGCCGCGGCAGCCGCCCGATTCGGTCTGCCAGCTCCCAGACCGCGAGAGCGTTGGAGGCGGCGAGGCGCGACTCGTATGCCTCCGCCGCAGCTTCGAGAAGCTCATCCATCTGCAGGAACGCCGCGCCCGCAAGCAGCTCGGCGAGCGCATCCTCGTCCGCCACCTCCGCCTCGCCCGTGTAGGCAAACTCGAGGCACGCTTTCAGACAGGCGGGCGAGAGAGCTGTGAGGTCAAGCGGACCGCGGCAGTCGCCGGGCCACTTCCCAGACCACAACGTCTTGAAGTATTTGCTCGCGCCGACCAAAACGATCCTGTGCGCGCCGACTGTCTCGCCACCCGCCGGCTCGAGCTCTACGTCGCACAGCTCTCCGGCGCGGAACTTGTCGACGGCGTCCCGATGCAGCGCCTGGCTCCCGCCGCTGAGGAGGATGGCGGGCGAGGCGGCGGAGGCGGAGGGCGCGGAGGAGGAGGACGAGCGGGAGCGCTTCCGGGACATTCTGGCTCGTGAACGCACAGACCTCGGCACTCGTTGGCGCGCCGCGACGACTTCGGGCGGCGCGGCAAAAAGCAAGAACCGTCTCCGCAGAATTCTGAGGCGCTTGTAGAAGAACAGTCGGCCCGATGCCCGATGCGACTTCTTGCAGCGACTTCTTGCTGGCAACGACTTGGGCGGTAAAAAATTCACGTAACGATCAGTAACCCCCCAAACGACTAAAGAAGAAAGAAAAGCAGCAAGCCTCAGGGAGGGATGGGAGGACGCGAAACGAGTGGGGGGTCCTCTTTTTCTTTTCTCGCGATGTCAGCCCCCCGGCGGGATCGTGCCGCGCCGTTGTCATCGACGTCACTGACTGCCTCCCACGCGCTCGTCGCCGGGTCGTACCGCTCGACTGAACTGAGGGAGTCGGGTGGGGCTAGACAAGCCGCCCAGCGCATATAGCTTCACCCCTAGAGTACATGCAGCCGACACTACAAAATAAACCAGGTGAGACGAGTGCGCGTTGGGGTTTTGTGTGTTTATACAGACTGTGTGAAAACAATTAAAATTACGTTACCAAAAAGAGCGACGCCCTCTACGCTGGGGTTCCGGCTGCACCGGCGCCCTACTGGGCGTATTCAACCAGTCACACACTGCTACCACTCCCACCCCTGCGAGGAAGCAGAGGCAGAGGTAGATAACGACGAAGAAAACGCAACCCCCCTCACACGCGGGCGGCGGCGGCGGCGCTGAGGGGGGCTGTACATCGTGTGCCAGCCCGCCACCACCCAGCAGGGCCACCTCGAGATCGTAGGCCTCCTTCTCGATGGTCTCAATCGCCCGGTCGACGGCGGCCTCGAGCTGTGCATGCCGGTCGCCCTCGAGGTAAGGATTGAGCAGATCCGAGATCTTCCCCAGTTGGTATGAGGTGACAGTGGGGTGGCCCTCCGCCGACTCACTCCATTCATCCCACCTGCCCTGCATCGCGAGCCCCGGGTCGCCGCCCGCAGACCCCTCGGTGGTGCGGACGTGAGAGCTTGAGGAGCGGTGGCTTTCTGCCTCCGCGCTGGCCTTCTTGAAGAAGTGAGAACCGACCTCCCATTTCAAGTCGTTCAAGGCATTCTCATCGCTGTTGTCCGCGCCTGTATACCCTGAGACAATCATCGAGGCACCGAACGAGGCTTGCTTGATGTAGAAGGGGCCAAACGTTGCCACGACGTAATCCGCGTCGAACACATACCCAGGAATGGGCGTGATCCCAAGCATAACCTTCGCATCCGTCGTCAATACGTCGCGGAGGCTGCGAGTTATGTTCATCCAGCTCCAAGCAGGGCTCAGAGTCGCCGAGCCGATGACCTGGCTCCGCCGCTGCTGGTAGTAGGAGTATTCGTGGCTCTCTGCGGTGCCGACCCCAAAGTCGCTGCTGAGGGCCGCCTGCAGGCTTGCCAACGGCATCCAGTCAACTCCCATTTCTCCTGAAAGCTTCACCTGCATGTCTTCATGGAACTCTTGGCGGTGGCTGCCTTCAATTTTGTCGGTGCTCGTCGCGCTGTGCACGGAAACAATGGATGGCATGCCGATGAAAGCAGCCATTTTCGCGCCGTCAAACAGCCGCCGCCCGTAGTGTCCATCGACGGGGACGAACGGCCGTGAGCGGCTCGGCTTGAAGCCGTAGCAGAGGAGTGGCGAGGCCTGCTTCTGGATGACAGTTACAGCGTGGTCGATGGACTCGCCCGAGTCGCCAGCACGCGCCGTTGACTCGGAATGCATGGACTCGCCCAGGTCATGTGGGACGGCGACGTTGAGTAATGCGACGGTCAAAAAGGTAGCAAACATGAGGATGCAGGGGAGCGCGGTGCGCCACCGCCTCTTGGGCTGGGTTGGCATGAGCATGTCACAAGGGCGACCCCGCCAGCTGAAGTGTAAGAATCGGTTATGAGGGGTTCAAGCAGACGACAGCTGGGAGGGGACAGCGCGTCGCCAAGGGCCAAGGAGTTGGCCCGTTTTTGCTTGCGAATTTATTTCCCTTCTCAGGGATTAATTAGGCGTCAATGGCGCCACATATAACGCGGCGGATAACCACCGGAGGGAGGCGGCGGGCCTTCTCACGTGATAGTTTGTGACAATTTCGTGCCCCGATCGCCGCGCCCCCAATCGGGACCACACTTATATGCATATTATCTGACGGCACTAATCACACGGCAAAAACTGTCGGCGTCGAAAGCGCTGCTTCACCCCGGCATTCGATGCCACATGCATGTCGCCTTCTCCCACTTGCAGTCGCCCTTGTTGAGGTCAACGCACGCGCCTGTGACACGCCAACCGAGAGGACCGCCCTCCCAAGACCTCTTTGTTCATCCAGGAACATATATGGATCGCGCGGGCTGATATCTGACAAACAAAACTCTCTCTCTCCCGTGACGCGTGAGGTCTGCGAGGCAAAAATCTCAAAAGACAAACCGCCGGGTATAATGCGGACCTCGGCTGATCTCGGGCGATCTCGAGGCCCTCTTGACCTGCTCTTGACTCGCGGGCAGCGGCGCACTCAGTCGCGAGAGGTGCCGCAGTGCAACCTGCGGGAGGGAGGGGAGGGGTGAGGCGCCAAGCCGGTAGAGAGGGAGACGGGCTCTTGTGGCTGCTCCGCTGGCCGGCCCCGGACGTGACACGAGTCACGACACACCACACACACATTGACATAATAAATAAAAACGGACACCGTCTCTACTGTGAGATGGGTAAAAAGGAACAGGTCCCCGCCCTTGCGATCTTTGTGCAGGGTTCTTTGTGGGTGTGGTCGGTGACTAGCCGGGGTCGTCCTCCCGATGGGGGACTAGCACTAGCCGTCTTCCACATGGTCCCTCGGATCCCTCTCCCTGCTGCTCCTATCTCCTTAGATCGTCTCTTCGTACATCCTCCTGCTGATCTCCGCAAAGTCCTGTGCACATTGACATATATTCTCCATATTCGATGATTATTGACTCAGACATTGATGCCCTGACGAAAAAAGAGGACTCTTGCTACGCATGAACCATATGGTACACGCTGACGACATTGCAGTGCTTGCGCGCACACAGCAGCGGGTTTGAGCGGTGCTGCCCCGACGTGGCGCATGCGGCATGCTACGCGTAGGCCGCCCTGCTCTGGCTCAGGCTGAAGGGGCACGGCACGGTGAAGGGGGTGGTCGTCGAGCGGACCGCTTCGGGATTGAAGGCCTTCGCCTCGCGCGCGCGCTGCTCCTCCTCCCTCCTCCGCGCCAGCTCCTTCCGCTCCAGGTGCCGGGAGAGCCCCTTGATAGCGCGCGCCTCGCCCGGAGGCACGCGGGGTGGCGGCGGCCTGCCAGGCGTCGGCGCGAAGGTGCAGCCGGCCAGCGCCTCCTCCTCCCGCTCGGCGAGCGCCGCCGCGCGCCGCGCCGCCCTCTCCCTCATCTCCGCCTGCACCCGCTCGCTCAGCGTCGCCTGGTCGGCGGGGTGCAGCCGGTCCGTCACGCGCGCGGCGATCGCCTGTGGACACGTCGTGGACATGTCGTGGACACGTCGTGGACATGTCGTGGACATGTCGAGGACGTGTCGGTCACGCGCGCGGCGATCGCCTCCGAGGCGGCCGACAGGCGCGGCGCGAACGTGCGCCCCTCCTCCTCGGCCCTGCGCCACGCCTCGACCGCCGACGCGCGGCGCGCCTTGCCTCTCGGGTCTCGCATCAGCTCGTCGTCAGACTTCGGGCGGGCGATCCGCGCCTGCAGGGAGGCTCCGAGAGAACAGCTCGGGGGGTCGGCTCCGGGAAGGGGAGGGGGGCAGCCTCGGCCGCCGATCCGCGCCGAGATGCCGTCGATGCGCGGCGCAAACGGGTGGCGCGCGAGGCTCGCAGCCTCGGCCGCCGCGCGCCACTCCTCGCGGACGAGCGGGTCGGTGCGCGCGAGGCGGACAGTCCGCTCCTCCTCCGTCTCGCTCAGCCGGCCGGGCCGCGCGGTGAGCAGCAGCTGAGTCGCCTCGGAGATGGAGGGGGTGAAGAGCGCCGCCTCCTCCTCCTCGAGGGCTTGCTCCCGCTCGCGCTGCCGCTCGCACCGCCCCGCGCTCCACGCCTGCATCCGCGCGAGGACGGGCTGGCCGCCGCCCTCGCTCCCCTCGGCGAGACGCACCGAGATCTCGTTGAGCTTGGGCGCGAAGGGGCACGCCGCAGCCTGCCCCGCCGAAGGGGCCTCGGGTCATCTCTGTGATCTCGTGGTGATCTCGGGCCATCTCCGAGCCATCTCCGAGCCATCTCCGGTCCATCTCCGAGCCATCTCCGAGCCATCTCCGGTCCATCTCCGGTCCATCTCCGGGCCATCTCCGGTCCATCTCCGAGCCATCTCCGGGCCATCTCCGAGCCATCTCCGGGGCACGCCGGCGCCTCCTCCGCTTCGCGCTGCTCCTCGCGCCTCGCCCTGCGCTCCGCCAGCGCCGCCGCCTGC